TATAAGTCATGTGTTTTTGACTAAGCCAAACATACAGTTATTGCGCCATGCAGGTATTAACTGTTATGTTATTTGGATAACATCAGCGGAGTTTATAAACAAAGTATCATTTGCTGACAACAATACAATGTAATAATAAAAATAATAATTCAATTCCGCTTCTTTTCCCCATCAGGCAGACATACCCACGTCTTTTTCACAACGGCCTTTAGTAAGCACTTGCCCGGTCTGCCCCTGTACTCCTCGAGCAGAGTACTGGACGACGTCACTCTCTACTGGTACGACAGCCATACCCGGCTCCTGGAGGTCCGGGCTCCATGGTTTAAAAATACCGGTGTCAACCTATGGAGAATCAACCTCCATGAAATGAATTATCAGCTGACGATGCAAAGATATTTACAGGCTATAAAAAACAGGCTAAACTCCAGTGAAGGTGAGTCAGGAAGTGAAAAGTTCTGATGCCAATACACACACACACTATAGTGGGCTGTTGCCCACTATATGCTGACAGCGCAGAGCGCTCTGCGGCAAAGTGATCAGCTGTATGTGATCGCTCATTTTCCGATCAATAGAGCCGACGTGTGACAGCTTTAGTGTCACATATGGGGTCTAATTATGGGGAAGAGTCTATTTTACTGAAACACCATTCTGGTCATACATGCCATACACTCCATGGGCATGTGGTCTTGCATTTGGAGGACTGGTCATAGGACAGGAAGGAAGCCTGCAGGAGCAGGGAATAAGGTAAGTATTCCACAGCTTTACACCCCCAAGTCTAAATGAGCATTGAAGCTGCAGCAATTCAAATAGAGCGCTCCTCAATTCCTCCTTTCATGGCTGAAGAACATACAGCGTCCCCTTGCTCTTTCCTTCCAAGCCTGACTTTCCCGGTCCCACCTTTTTTCATTCATTAGATTTTGGTTCTTTTAATCATAAAGGTTCAATGCAACATGTGAGCATTACCACAGCTTCCTGGTTTCAATGTGCTATGTACAGCACCCTGCAGGACCCCCCCCCCCCCCCCCCCGTGCTCGCCCGCCTTGGTTGAGA